CGGGTTTGGGCTTCATGGGCAGAGGCCTGGTTTGCTGTTCACCAACAGCCCACACCTCACAGGACAGTCCCGCAAGACAACAACATTATTAAAACGTCGGCACGTGATATTTTATGTGCCACAACCCCGCCCACAGCTGCCCTTACCCGCTGACAGCCGCGGTCTGAAAACACGGAATGAAAAACTCCACAGAGGAGCGAGGCACTGAGCTCCGCGCCTCGCGCCATGTTGAGAAGTGGGGCGAAGTCTCGCGCGACCTGCGCGCGACCTGCTCCATCCCGCGCGATCTGCTTCCTCCCGCGCGATTTGTCCTGTCCGCTGGGACTACTAGACGCTTGACGCTCCCCCTTCACGCAGCTGCGCGTGGCGGACCTTTCCCACGTTCATCGCGCAGGCGCGGCTGGCTGGTCACGTGACTGTGGCCTGTGGCGGGAACTCGGGGCTCGTGTTCATTCATCCTTTGATCCCTATTTTACTTCAAAATAGACGCGGGGTGACGAAGCGGAACCGCTTGGTATTTAGAAAAGCCCGGGAGAAGCCGCACATGCTTCCTTTAGTGAAAAGATATGGATAGGAAAATAATAATGTATAATTAGGGTTCAATACTATCTGGGGTATCAGGCATCCTTGGGGTGGGGGTGGAGGGGTGGTCTTGGAACGGAATAAGGGATCACTGTGATGCCCAAGTGAAAAACCCTCGGTGAAACCATGTAAAGTAGTCCGGATCCTACCTTTTTTTTTTGTTTTGAACTTACAAATAAAGTCATTTTGTAGGGTGCAGCGTAATGGAAGCAGGTTTTTTCCATGCGTGTAAGACATACAGATATGTACGAAGCAGGAACATGTCCTCTGATCAATAATCAATGCATTCCTGATTTCTTATCGCCCACCGCAAATTATACCTCTTGAAAGCTGCCCCTCACTTGCCCAGCCTGTGTGGCTCAGTGGCGGAGTGTCCACCTACGAACCAGGAGGTCAGGATTTGAGTCCCAATTCCAGGGCATATGCTCAGTGTTGCGGGCTCAATCCCCACCGTGGGTGTGCAGGAGGCAGCCGATCCATGATTCTCATCATGGATGTTTCCATCGCTCTCTGTGTCTCCCTTCCTGTCTGAAATCAATTTTCTTTTTAAAAAAGAAAAACGTTTTAAAATCAGTTCCCCACTTTGTGTACACGTGTCTGTATTTGTTTACCTTTTTTTCTGAAAAAGCAAAACAAGCAAATAGCAGACATGTTTATGATCCTGGAACATACTCAGAAAAATGACTCTTCCACCTAACCTGTCCTCCGTCCCAGTTCCTCTTCTCGGGATAATCCCACTGGCCGTGTTCCCTCCTCGCACATTCTGCAAAAGGGGCATTCTACACCACGCAGTTAGCCCTGGCCGGTTTCGCTCAATGGTTACAGCATCAGCCCTCAGACTGCAGGGCCACCTCCAGCTTAAGGGCATGTACCTTAGTTGCAGACTCAATCTCCGGCACCCTGTGGGAGAGGCAACGAACGGATGTGTCTCACACCGATGTTTCTCTCTCCCCTCCCCTCCACTCTCTAAAAAAAAAAAATCTCCAGGTGAGGATTAATAGTAACACATGTATACCGTGTTTCCCCGAAAATAAGACATCCTCCACAAATAAGACCTACTTACAGGTTTCCTTCTGAGTGAAATATAAGGCAGCCCCCGAAAATAAGGCTCCCCTAGGCTAAACATGAGAGATTTGGCCCACTGATTCTGAAAGAAATGAAGTCACAAGAAATTCACCAGGAAATTCAGGAATTGGATTGCTATGATGATGTTCCAGAAGATGATGACATGATTGTCATTGAATAAAGGAGTAAATTCTTGCTACTGTAGGATTCAGTTTGTCTGGTTTGTGTTGACAACGACCGTCCTACTGTACTGTACACAGGTAATAAATTTCCTTTATTTTCATTTAACCATAAATGTGTACCGTATTCTTCTTCATGGGAAAATAAGACACCCCCTGAAAATAAGACCTAGCGCATCTTTGGGAGCAAAAATTAATTTAAGAGACTGTCTTATTTTCGGGGAAACAGGGTATATGCATGGCCTGTTTTCTTTAGAATGCCTTTTATCTGCCCACCTCAAACATTCACCCATGATCCTCCCTTCCCTCTTTCCCAGCGCCATCTACTTTGCTAAGAAGGACCCCCGAATATTCCAGGCGTCCTTTCTCTTCCACACCAGCTCCTCCTCCTGTCTTTTGAAGTCGAGGCAGAAAGTCACCTTTTGTGTTCCATTTCCTCCGTTCTCTCCTCTCCATGCTTTGTCGCAGAATGTATTCTCGCTCTATTTAAAACCTGCTGGGACCCAGCGCCTGTCAGAGTTGTGCAACGGAATGAATAAAAAGCTCTTGCGCTTCATTCATTCGGGCTAAACCTCTATACATAGATTTGGCCCTCGTGTCTGTACCAAAAGGAGCAGGGAAGGGACAGCTGATGTCGGAACCTCTAACTTCCCTGGTATTGATTTTGACTTGGTGAAGGGCAAGAGGGGGGCAGGGGGAAGGGAGGGGGGGGGGCACTCCCTAGGCGAGTGAGCCCCGGTGGGTGCTCATAAATTCTTAATACTGCTTTTGAATTAAAAAAAGAGAGAAAGACGAGCAAAAGACACCAGAAAGGTGTTAGCAGGCAGCGGGGGGGGGGGGGGGGGGGGGGGGGGGGGGGGGGGGGGGGGGGGCAGTGATTTAAAGAAATGATGAATTATTTAGAAGTGTTTAACCACCATCTCCATTCAAGGGTGACATTTCTGATCGGGAGAAGGCAGAAATGGGGGTGGGGGTGTGTGTGGCTGTGACCCCAGGCAACAGCAGATTGCTGTGCAAGAGCACCAGGTCCTTGGGAATCTGTCTCTCCTTTTCCGTCTTGAATTTTGAACGCCCCGGTCACTATACGTGCCCCCCCCCCCCCTCAGGGAGGCTGCAGGTCCTAGTGTCCCCCTCTTGCTCCACGGAGGTGAGAATTGAGATGAGGCTGTTTGTCTGGGCAGCTTGACTGGGAATCGAACCCGAGACCCTTCAGAGGGAGGGCCTGCACGCTCTAACCACTGAGCCAGGTTTTAACCCCTCCCTTTGCAACAATACTCGCTGGACAAGAGGGAAAAAAAACGAATAGAGACATTGAGTTCATCCACTCCTCACCACTTGTGTCTTGGTGCCCTTCCTGTGTTTAACCCTTCAACCCAGGTTAGCCTATTTCCGGTCCGCATTGCTAAGGAATCCCGGCCCTTTGCCATAAAGAAGGCATGCCATTCCCCCGGCATTCTGTGTTACCGTGTTTCCCCGAAAATAAGACATCCTCCGAAAATAAGACCTACTTACAGGTTTCCTTCTGAGTGAAATATAAGGCAACCCCCGAAAATAACGCCTCCCCTAGGCTAAACATGAGAGATTTGGTCCACTGATTCTGAAAGAAATGAAGTCACAAGAAATTCACCAGGAAATTCAGGAATTGGATTGTTAGGATGACGTTCCAGAAGATGAGGACATGATTGTCATTGAATAGATGAGTAAATTCTTGCTACTGTAGGATTCACGGTTTGTCTGGTTTGTGTTGACAACCACCGTACTACCGTACCGTAGACAGGTAATCAATTCCCTTTATTTTTATTTAACAACAAATGTGTACCGTATTCTTCTTCATGGAAAAATAAGACATCCCCTGAAAATAAGACCGAGCGCATCTTTGGGAGCAAAAATTAATAGAAGACACTGCCTTATTTTCGGGGAAACAGTGTAGGACTGTTTTTAGATTGTCCGTGGAAAGCCCCTACGTCGGATCATTTGCACGCTAAACACACCCCACAGACTCCTTTAGCTCTGAGTGCTCATCTGTGTATTGCAACGAGAGCGGATGCCCGGTTCCAACTTAATCAAGGACGTAATGAGCAGCATTAATATTCATTGTCTCCTCCACGGGAGCGCAGGCTCATCAAGGTAAATAGCTGCTGGCCTGCCGCCCTGGGCAGCCCCATGGCTGAGCTGAGAAGTGTGTGTCCTCATCTAGACAGCGGGCTGTTTGGCCCCCTCGATGGGGAGCCCCCCAGAGGCTTTGTTTCATTTTTATTTTTTAAAATATATTTTATTGATTTTTTACAGAGAGGGATAGAGAGCTGGAAACATCGATGAGAGAGAACCATCGATCAGCTGCCTCTTGCACACCCCCTTCTGGGGATGTGCCCGCAACCAAGGCACATGCTCTCCATGGCACCCCAGCGGGAGGTTTGGAAAGTTGGGGGCATCTCCTGGATGGCTGCGCTGGCCCACGCACCCCCAACCTGTGCGCACCCCCCACCTCCCCATGCAGCCACACACCCACCCAACCCCTGCTGATGCAGGAGGGTGCGGCAATCCACACCCGCACTGCTCCCCCTCCTCCCCCCTTCTCCTTCTCCTCCTCCTCCTCCCCTTCTTCCTCCCTCTCCTCCCTCTCCTCCTCCTCCTTTCTCCTTGTCCTCCTCCTCCTCCTCCATCTCCTCCTCCCCCTCCTCCTCCTCCTCCTTTTCCTCCCCCTCCTCCTCCTCTTCCTCCTCTTCCTTCTGTCCTTTTTCTTTCTCCTCTTCCTCCTCCTCCCCTTCCTCCTCCTCCTCCTCCTCCTCCCTCTCCCTCCATCTCCTCCTCCTCCTTTTCCTCCCCCTCCTCCTCCTCTTCCTCCTCCTCCTTCTGTCCTTTTTCTTCCTCCTCTTCCTCCTCCTCCTCCCCTTCCTCCTCCTCCTCCTTTTCCTCCCCCTCCTCCTCCTCTTCCTCCTCCTCCTTCTGTCCTTTTTCTTCCTCCTCTTCCTCCTCCTCCTCCCCTTCCTCCTCTTCCTCCTCCCCCTCCTCCCCCTCCCTCCATCTCCTCCTCCTCCTCCTCCTCCCCCCCCTCCATCTCCTCCTCCTCCTGCTCCTCCTTCTCCTCCTCCTCCTCCTCCTTCCCCTCCTCCTCGCCCCCCGCCCTTGCCCGGGGCGCCGCCCCCTCCCCTCGGAGCGCTGAGCTCTGGAGGCGGCGGCTGGCCGGGCGGAGGGCGGGGGCGGCCCGGAGCCATCCATCGCCGCGGCAGGCAGTCCTCTCCCTCCCTCCGGAGCGCGGGCTGCGCCGCCCGAGCCGCGGGGCGAGGACGCACTGGCCGCGGCGCCCGGGCATGCAGCCCCGGAGCGGGCGGCGCACCCCGGGCCGCCGCTGAGCCCCAGGCGCCTCCCGCCCGCCGCCCTCCGCGCCCCGGGGCGCCCCGGCACCCCCGCTCCGCCCATGCGGCCGCCAAGGTAAGCGCGGGGCCGGGCGCGCAGGGGACCTGGCTCCCCAGGCGCCCTGATGGGGGGCTCCTTCCCCACCCCACGTCTCCTCCTGCCCGGATCGGGAGCCTCGCTGCGCCCCGATGGCTCTGGCTCTTGGCAGCGAAGTTTTTGCGGTTTGGTGTCCGCTCTTTTTTTCTTTTTTCCTTTCCTAAAAGGCTCTCTGGCGCGCGCGGTTGGAGAGCCGGGTGGACGTGGCCACTGTGTGCGGGGCCGGGAGCTCCCCGTGTCCCGCTGCACCGGCTCCTCCTCCTCCCGGGAGCCTGGGACGGAGCCGGCCACCCCGGGCTGTCCCAGCTCGGCCCGGGCTCCCTCCTCCTCCTCCTCCTGCTGGAGCCGGGCTTCCTAAGCCGGCTGCAGAGCCAGCCGGGAGGGAGCGCCTGTGCCCCCGGGGGCATCGGGGCAGGACCGAGTCTGGGTCTGGGCTGGGGTCCCCGCTGCCCATTGCAGGGGGCGCAGGTGCATCGGGACATGTGCGCTAAGGATTGGGATGCCCAAGGGTCCCTTGCACCCCCCGAATGGTGGTTGGAACCTTCGGTTCGGGCCATGCAGGGCGGTGACTCTGCACCCAGCTCCTGTCCTGGAGGGCAGGGGGGCAGGTGTTTGTAGGGGGAGGGTCGAGGTGGGGGTGCATCCTGTTCATGCATATTCATTGCATTTGCTTGGAGGTAGGATCAGTTCCCCCAGATGGTGATTTTTTTTTTTTAATGGGGGCCTTGTAGCCGCTAGTATGTATGTATGTATGCCCTGTGGTGTCCAAAGGCGTTGGGTTGTGTGTATGTTATAAGGAGGGTGTCCTGCGGACGAATTAGGGGAAATCGCGCCATCTAGAGGAAAACGGTGAGCTCCCAGCTCCCTGAGGCTGCAAGGTTGCTGGGTTCTGGACCAGAGGTATCTTCTGTGGCAGGCCAGGAGGCCTGAACAGGCCTCCCAGGGAGAGCAATAATCAATCCCAGAACGTGGCACCTGCCGGTAAGAGGGCGCCCGTCTGCAGGCACCTACGGCGGAGAGCTGGGAAAATCCACCCACGGACCTTGCTCTTCTCCCGAGTGGGTTTTCCCGGGAATCCTGAGCCGCCATCCCCGGAAAGGGGGGTCGGCTGTGTCGGCAGGGCAGCTGGAGGAGAGACCTTGGAGGGGTCTCTCACCAGTCTGCGCAGGGACCGTGCAGGGTAACAACAAAGCCGTCTGTCCATCTACAGAGAAGAGGCTTCCTGCCGTTCCACGGCCATGGCTGGCGACAGACAAGCCCCTTTATAAAGGGACGTAGAGCCGAAACCGGTTTGGCTCAGTGGTAGAGCGTCGGCCTGCGGACTGAAAGGTCCCAGGTTCGATTCCGGTCAAGGGCATGTACACTGGTTGCGGGCACATCCCCGGTAGGGGGTGTGCAAGAAGCAGCTGGTCGATGTTTCTAGCTCTCTATCCCTCTCTCCTCCTCTCTGAAAAGAATCAATAAAATATATTTTTAAAAAATATATAAAGGGACGTAGACTCCAGTGACAATGGGGCAGACTTCGCTGGGTATGGAGCAGAGCGGAGGCAGGCCCTGGGGCGGGGCACCCCACATCCAGGGAGCTCTGTGTTGCTGGGATTAGCAATGAGCTGGGTGCCCCCTGCTCTGACCGGGACGATAGTGGCCCCCAAATTTATTTATCCAGCCGCTAGGGGTGAGACCCTCTGCGCAGGGATGCTGGTAAGAGAGGCCTCCTGTCTCCTTTTCTCACCAGCCCCGCTGCCATCCTTCCTTCCCTCCCAGATGGCGGACAGGTGACTCCTCTCTGAATAGACACGTAGAAAGGTGGATGGCTTGCCTTCCCGTGGATAGAGCGTGAGCCGGCGGACTGAAGGGTCCCGGGTTCGATTCCGGTCAGGGGCATGTACCTTGGTTGCGGGCACATCCCCGGTAGGAGGCGTGCAGGACGCAGCTGATCGATGATTCTCTCTCATTGGTGTCTCTAATTCTCTATCTCTCTCCCTTCCTCTCTGTAAAAAATCAATAATATATATATATATTTTTTAATATAGATTTTATTGATTTTTTTACAGAGAGGAAGGGAGAGGGATAGAGAGCTAGAAACGTCGATGAGAGAGAAACATCGACCAGGTGCCTCTTGCACACCCGCTACCGGGGATGTGCCCGTAACCAATGTACATGCCCTTGACCGGAATCGAACCTGGGACCCTTCAGTCCGAAGACCGACGCTCTACCGCTGAGCCAAACCGGTTTCGGCCAATAAAATATATTTAAAATAGCATTCCCTACGTTTGAAAAAATCTAAAATTTTTGAGGCCAGTGACACTTACTTCCTCTGGAAGACTCCAGAGTCACCTTCCATTAAAAAAAAAAAAAAAAAAAAAAAAAAAAAGAGCATCGTCCTCGAACTTGATTCTCAATCCCACAGGGAAGGTCAGCTATAGCATAGGCGTCTGCCGTGTTCCTGCGGCTCTGCAGGCGGAGGCCCCTGCTTTCCAAACGCCATCGCTGTTCATTCCCTCCACACACTGAGCAGACCTCGAACCTGAGACAGGGAGCTCCAGGCTTCCCCGTCTGCCTGCTCTCCAGCCCCCTTCAGATGGCAGGCATGTGTTCCCTCCCTCAGCTGTAAAGCTAGGAAGGAGCAACGTGAACAGGGCGGTGGGATAAAAGCATGGACCGCCCTGCCCAGGGCTGCACACCAGGTCACACTCACCTGTGGAACCTGTGATGAGGTTCCTCGGGGCATCCTCTCACAGGCCCGGACCTGCTCCTTGCCCCTCATCGCTGAGTTTGGGGGGTCATTGTACCCTGAAACGGCGGACATGGGAGTTCGTGTTATTTTTAATTCAGCCAGGGCAGCTCACGTCGTCTGCTGGTTTCCAGATGCTTCCTTTCCCTGTTATCCCGAAGCGCACCTGGCCTTGTGTCTTGGCCGTCTCAAGATCACACGGTCAGAAAAAGCCAGACGCCGCCACCAAGGCGCATGCCCTTGACCGGAATCGAACCCGGGACCTTTCAGTCTTCAGGCTGACGCTCTATCTTATCCACCGAGCCAAACCGGTTTCGGCTGGGTTCCAACCGATTTTAAGAAGAAAAGCCACGGAGGCGGACGGAGGGGACGGTCACGTACGTTTGACACGTCTGTTCCCTCCGGATCGGTGCCCTTCCCCGCCTCCCATCCGCTGGGGAGCCTCTCTCCAAACAACCTTGAACTTGATGAATAACGTGGTTATCTGTTCCCCGTGGCTAAGTGTCTGTGCTATGTGCGCTTGGCACCAAATAGTTCATTAATCCAAAAACGCTCCGGCCGGATCCGAGAGAGACACACACACAGGCTCCCTGTGCGTCTGGATGCTCGCCTTCTCGGTGCGACAGTGGTTCCAAGCTGGTTCTCCTCCCGAGAACATTCTGGAACGGGGAGAGGTAAACACCGGGGCCCAAACGCTGCTTTAGAACGAGAGGCGGCCCAGTGTTTTCCCAAGGTGTGGCCCCAGGTATGCAGGGCACTGAACCTCAGGCTGACACGAAAGCACAGAATGTCACTCTTCCAAAGACGTTCCCCACTTGTTCAGCGACATGTTCACGTGGTCAGGGGTGGGCAAGGCCAGTTAGGTGCACAGTCAATACCAGCTCACAGGCTCCCTGGAGATAGGGGGTCCCCGAAGCCAGAAGATCAGCCCCCCGAGGCAGCCAGGCCATGATCCCGCAGGTTGAGAAGCTGAGGGGATAGCCCAGCCAGTGTGGCTCAATGGTTGAGCGTTGTCCTAGGCACCAGGAGGTCACGGTTCGATTCCTGGTCAGGACACATGCCCAGATTGCGGGCTCCATCCCAAACAGGGGGCGTGCGTGCAGGAGGCAGCCGATATGGATGATTCTCTCTCATCGTGGATGCTTTTATCTCTCTCTCCCTCTCCATGCCTCTCTGAAATCAGTAAAACTATATCTTTAAAAAGAGAGAGAGAGAGAGAGATAGAGAGAGAGAGAGAGAGAGAGAGGGAGAGAAAGTGACTGCCCCAGGAGCTTACTGAGAAACTTCCAGGTCAAGAAGGAAAGGTGTGAAAAGGTGGAAGAGGGGAAGCTTAAACCCCAAATATCAGGGAAACACAGCCCTAGAAACTGTCACAGGCCACCCAGCAGGCTCTCCCCACAGCTGGGCTGAGGCCGGGGGAGTCTTTACGTCTGTTCAGAGCAAGAGAATAAGCACACGGAGGGAGTGGGGTTCCTGGAGGAGGAGCATTTTGCCCCAGATACTCCGGTGCCTGGGGAGGAGTTGGTGAGCTCATCGGAGGTGGTGTGACAGCCAAGCCACCCGCAAGTCAGCAAGCAGGGTGGCTTCTGGCAGGCCACGTGCCTTCTGCAGGGGGGTGGTTCGAGACAAGGGTGCGTGCTGTGAGAAGGGACATGAGCGTCTCCCCATGGGAGCGGAAGTCCCAGAGGGGACGCAGCTGGTAGACCCTTGGCATTCCCCACGTGGGCTGTTTTACACGTCATCCCGGCTGTACTTCCATCTGTGCGTCCCCTTCGGCTGGTAAACCAGGTTCTTCCCTTGGATCCATTTGCGCTCCTGCCAGGACCTCGGACCGTCCGCTGAGAGAGGAGAAAAAGCAGGAAGTGCTCTCTGGGGAGGGAGCAGGGAGCAGGTGGCTGGCCGTCTTGGGTAAAATGGGAGGCAGCTGGATAGCTTGGTTGGTTGACTGACTGGTTTTATATGTGCTTTTATCGACCCTGGGACTACCTGGAGGGCAGGGGCCAGTGGTCATTCAAGATGGTGGTGGTGGTGGTGGTGGTGGTGCCGAAACCAGTTTGGCTCAGTGGATGGAGCGTCGGCCTGCGGACTGGAGGGTCCCAGGTTCGATTCCGGTCAAAGGCATGTACCTTGGTTGTGGGCACATCCCCAGTAGGGGGTGTGCAAGAGGCAGCTGATCGATGATTCTCTCTCATCGATGTTTCTAACTCTCTATCCCTCTCTCTTCCTCTCTGTAAAAAAAAATCAATAAAAATATTTTTAAAAAAAGATGACGATGGTGCCTAGTGGCCAAAATGAGCAACCCTCCTTCCCTGCCAGGTCTGTGCCCAAGGTCAGACATGCTGTGTGGGCTCCTGACCCACAAAGGGCACCCGGCCATCTAGGAAGAGCCGTTTGTGATAGTCACTTTGGTAGAATATACACTCAGTGGCCAGATGATGATGATGATGATCTCTGATCCCTTACAGATGAAGAAACTGGGGTGCAGAGACCAGAAGTCTTGCTTTCAAAGGTTCAGTCTTGGGCCAGGGCAGGGCTGGAAGGGTGTTTTTTGTTTGTTTGTTTGTTGTTTTTCAGAGAAGAAGGGAGAGGGAGTGAGAGAGAAACATCAATGAGGAGAGAGAATCATTGATTGGCTGCTCCTGGGCGCCCCACACTGGGGATCGAGCCTGCAACCCGGGCACATACCCTGACCGGGAATCGAACCGTGACCTCCTGGTTCCTAGGCCGGCGCTCGACCACTGAGCCACACCAGCCCAATGCTTGCAGGTCTCTGCTGTGTTCCTGGCCTGGAGGTGCTGCAAAGCTGCTGCTGCTGCTGCTGCTGCTGCTGCTGCTGCTGTTGGTGGTGGTGGTGCATTTGCCGGTGGGAATACGAAAGGGTCTCTTCTCTTGCATTATAGGGAAGCTCAGGCCCTATAAGATGCTTCTGTGCAGGCTGGCTCTGTGCCCGCCTCAGCTGGGCCAACCCTCAGAGGAACGCCGTGTGGCCCCTGGATTTCAGTGGGCAGACCTGTAGCGGTGTGCACACCAGGGCTTCCGGTGAAGGGGGGTCAATCATTAGGCAGAACCTGCTAGACGGAGGCCTCACTGTTGGAGGGAAAGATGGTGGCTGTAAAGCCAGGCGAGCCGAGAGGCTCTGGTGGCTTTGAGCCCCGAGGTGACAGCAGCCGGCTGAGGCCTTACCTGTTCTGGAGCCAGATTCGGGGTTGTGCCTTGCAATCTCTCGGGGGCTTTCTTTCCTCTTGCCCAGGCCCAGAGCTCGCTCCTCCCTGAGCCAGACTCCCCTCCTGGCAGGCGGAGCGCCCTGCAGCCTGTGTGGCCTCCGGCAGGCAGCGAGAGAGAGCGAGCGAGGACTGTGATAGTGCTTAAGAGCAACGTCGAAATTGGACAAAAACTAGGCACTCTCTTCCAAAGAACCAGATGAGCGGGGCTTGCAAGTGAGGAGGGGAGGGGAGGGGGGGAGAGGAATGGGTTTGACTGAAAACACTTGCTCCGGCGTCGTTGTGCTCCGTCCAGACGATGCTCAAGGGGTGCTGTCAGGCTCTTAAATAGCCCGGGAGCCGGGGCAGGAGCACGGCGGGGCTCCGGGCTCCCTGGGGAGGAGGCACCTTCTCTCCTAGAAACACAGGCGACCGCGTGGAGGGTGAAGGGAGTCACCATCGCCCCGACGATGCCCTCCCCAGAGCCGCCGCCTCAGTGGCAGGGCCCCGAGCAGCGCGGGGACCGCTGTCTCCATGCCCTCAGCTCTGGAGCTCGGCTGGGGCAAGTGCCAGGCCGGGTGGGTGGGTGGGTGGCCGGGGCCACGGCGGGCCGGGCTGGGCCTCCAGGTGCACCCCTGGCTGAGTCCCTGAGAGCCACCCCGCCTGACCCGGGACCAATTTGGGGAGCGGATCTGCAGCCGCTTTGCACCCAGTGAGAGGCAGGAGCGGCTTTGGGGCGCTGTCTAGCCGGAGAGGGGGACCCCGGTTTGTCTCCAGACACGGTTGGAGGGTGAAGTGGGAGGGCGGGGGCGGGGGGGGGGGGGATCTGGGGCCTCGCATTCTGCAGGGCCAGCTGGCCCGGGGATTGCGTGCTTTCTGCGTGGGGAGCCCCGTATCCCGGGGTCCCTGAGGTCCCAGCAGCCCAGCAGCCCGGCGCCTCCGCGGTCCTCCCGGCCCAGCGCTCCTCCCTCCTCCCTCCACCCGTCTTGGGCGGCGCTGAAACCCGAGCCCGAGGGGGCGGGCGGCGGGGCCGGGCGGGCATTGGCGGGGGGACCCGGTGATGGATGATGGCGAGGGCGGGGCGCGCGCGGAGGAGGGGGCGCGCCGGGCCGCCCGCGGGGCCGAGTGGGGGACCGAGCCGCCCCGGCTCGCTGCTCCCGCCGGCGGAGCGAGGCTGCGCAGCGCGATTCATCTTCTGCCTTTTCTTTTTTTCTTCTTCTTCTTCTGAAAACTCCTCTTTCCAGGGAGAGGCTAGTGGTCACAGGCCGAGCTGGATGGATGGGTATGGGGAGAGGGGCAGCACCGTCATCATCAGCCCTGGGATTCTGGCCGACCCTCGCCTTCCTCCTCTGCAGCTTCCCCGCAGGTAAGACGCCTGGTCTCCAAGCGGGTCAGTGGCGCCCCGTTTGGGGGGGATCCGGCCTCCCCTTCCCCCCCCCCCCCCCCCCCCCGTCTTTGTCTCGCCCTCTTCGCCTCGGGAGGCGCGGGGATGCCCAGGAGCTCCAGGGGGGACCTCCTCATCGGGCTGCACGGGACCAAAAGGTCTCTGGTCTTGGGCCAAAGGTGCATCCTAAGTTCCCAAAAAAGCGGGGAGCAGGGACGTGCCCCCTAGAGGGGCCCTGGAGGGAGGGGTGCAGGGGAGGCACAGCCTCGGGGCACAGAGGGGGGAGCATGCTTTACCCAGCTCCTCGCCCCCCACTTTTTGCAAACCTGCCCAGTGGGCGTCCAGGGGTGCCCCCCCCCCCGAGGCACCCCGGAGGTCCTGGCCAGGTCCCCCTGCCTCCGCCACCCTCTCCTGGGGGACCCTGCGCCCTGGAGCCCTGGGCCGGGGGCACCCCGCAGCCCCGCATAGCCCCCCCCGTTTGTTTTGACGGGTGTCCGAGAGGGGAGAGGGTTTGGGAATTAAAAGCCGAAAAAAAAGCCCATCTGTTTCCAATGAATCCTCCATAGTTTTTTACAATGTTTTTGGCAGATCACTGCTTTCAAATTCCTCCGAGCCCGGGCCCTCTTGTTTTCGTTGGGGGAAGGGAGGCCAACTCCACTGAGGAGCGTTTGTTCGCTCCCAAACGCTCCGGTTTCTTGACTTTTTTTTCCCTCCTCCTCCTCCTCCTCTCCTCCTCCTCCTCCTCCTCCTCCTTCTCCTCCTCCTTCTTCCTTCTTCTTCCTTCTCCTTCTTCCCTCCTTTCTGGGGGAGGGGAGGGGGAAGGCCCGAAACCCAAACGCCTGCTCGGCGTTCTGTATAACGTTGCCTAAAACTTTTATTTCACTTCGGCCATATGTATGCTGCTCGCAGCTGGGACACGCCGGTGGAAAACCCTTTATACCGTGTGGTTGTTTTGTGTGTGTGTGTGTGTGTGTGTGTTTTTCCCCCTTTCTCTTCTTGGTAAAAGCATGCACGTGAGCCTCAGCGTGAGGGCCAGGGGGGGGGGGGGGTCCCCTGAGCCGAGGCGGGATCCCCCCGGCTGGTGCCCTTGGGTGGCCACTGGCCACCGAGGTATCTTCTTGGCGAAAATGCGAGCGTTTTTTGAGCGTGTTTCGCGCCGCACGCAGCCCAACGCGGACGCACGCAGCCCCGCGCTCTGCAAGAAGGGACTTGAGCGAGAGAGACCCGGAGGGGCTGCAGTTGTTTTGTTTTGCTCCCCAGCCAACTGGGTTTCAGAAACTGGCAGAACTGGGCCGTCCGGGCAGTCCGGGCTGCAGGCTGCCGCTCCAGGGGTGGGGTGGGGGGACCATGCAGGCAGGCAAGGCAGGCAGGCAGGCAGGCGGCACAGGCGGTGGCTGGCGGAAGGAGTCTGGGATTAGTTTACCTCCTCACCTTGGCCCTCCCTGTTTCGGGGGGTCCCCTGCGGCCTCGGGGTGCAGCCCATCCCTGAGGGTGCCCCCCACCCAGAGCCCTCACCTGCTCCCAGCCCCGGATTCCACCGGGGAAGCCCAGGCTGAGGACGAGGGGACGCGGGGTGTCAGTGCCCCAAAAAGCTTCGGACCTCCTTCTGCACCCTCGCCCGCCCTCCTCCTCCTGCACCCTAGCCCGCCCTGGAGATGCTGACACCCCCTCAGCGGGTCAGACAGCAGGGGGTCAGTCCTATACCGGCCCCCCCACCACCACCACCCCATTTAAAAAAAAAAAAAAAGATCATTTCTCCATCTACAATGCGGTCTGGCTGAAAGGCTGTCTTGGTTCCTTCCCAAGAACTAAAAAAAAAAAAAAATTAAATTTAAGACGACCCTCTCCTTGAAAGCGAGGTTCCCCTGCTTTTGGGGGGCTGGTGGCGTCTGCAGCAGCCTGTGCAACTCAGTTCGGTCCAGATAACGATCCGGCCCATGGGGGTGTCCTAGCAGATGGGTTGATAAATGGCTTTTGTCCCCGCCCGCCCCGCGCCCCGCCCGGCCAGCCCCGCCAGCCACAGCCAGCCAGCCACCGAGGGGCGATGTGATCTCAGCTTTCCCTCCGAGCTGAAATTGAGAAGGGGGGTCTTAGAGGCCCTTAAAACAACACCTTCCTTGCTCTTAAAGCGGCAGCAGCGCCCGCCCATTAACTTCTGGGGCCGGACAGGGAGGAAAGAAGGAAGGGGAACTCCCTCCGAGGGATGCTTTTGTTGGGAGGTTGTTTTGCTTTTTTTCTCTCATTTCTCCTTGTTTCCCAGTTTGAAGCGTCCCCGGGTAGTCTGGGGGGAGAGCCGGCCGGTGGGGGAGTTCTCTAAACTCGCCACCCCCCACCCCCGAATTCCATCACTCTCGTTTCCAAGGAGCCCGTTTCTCGGGGCCCGTCCGTAACCCAAACCCGGCCGATGGAGCAGATACCGCTGCGCTGCGGCCACTGTCAGGCCGACCGGCTAAGGTTGCTGCTAATGTGAGGCCCGGACAGCTGCCTTTAAGGTGGGATTGCCCACCTCACTGAAACCCGAGCTTCCAGGAGCCCAGACTCAATAGGCTGGGGGTGGGGGCTGGGGTGGGGGCTGCAGAAACCTGGGTCAGAGACCGTTTCTTCGGGAAGAGGCGGAATGAGCTATGTCCCCAGCACAGACGGGCCATCGGGGCCCTGGTGCATTAGCGGGGGTGTGGGGGAGGAGACCTCAAGTCCGAGGGAGGGCAGGGTGGAGGTCCCGGGAGCAGAGGGGGCTCTGGCCCAGGGTGGGGTGCAGGGACAGGCAGGGACGCCCTGGTGTCAGGCCACGGCCCTCCCGCTGCCAACAGGTGGGCCGGACCGGAAGCCCGGGTCAGTCGGATGCCCGTCCGCTGGCACGGCCGCCAGGAGGGCGCCCCAGGAGCCCACGTGCAGTGGGACGGGGTCACGTGGAGAAAGATGGCGGGGCTGTGTCCCTGAAGACTGTTTGCATGTCCTCGTTCCAGCCACTGGGCCCCTGGCTTGAGTGGCATTGGGGGGGTGGGCCTTCTCAGAGCAAGGCTGGCATCTGCCACACCCACTGGGCCCCTGGCTTGAGTGACAGTGGGGGGGCGGGCCTTCTCAGAGCAAGGCTGGCATCTGCCACACCCACTGGGCCCCTGGCTTGAGTGACAGTGGGGGGGCGGGCCTTCTCAGAGCAAGGCTGGCATCTGCCACACCCACTGGGCCCCTGGCTTGAGTGACATTGGGGGGTGCGGGCCTTCTCAGAGCACGGCTGGCATCTGCCACACCCACTGGGCCCCTGGCTTGAGTGACAGTGGGGGGGGCGGGCCTTCTCTGGGCAAGGCGGGCATCTGCCACACCCACTGGGCCCCTGGCTTGAGTGACAGTGGGGGGGCGGGCCTTCTCAGAGCAAGGCTGGCATCTGCCACACCCACTGGGCCCCTGGCTTGAGTGGCATTGGGGGGGGGCGGGCCTTCTCAGAGCAAGGCTGGCATCTGCCACACCCACTGGGCCCCTGGCTTGAGTGACAGTGGGGGGGCGGGCCTTCTCAGAGCAAGGCTGGCATCTGCCACACCCACTGGGCCTGGCTTGAGTGACATTGGGGGGGGGCGGGCATCTGCCACATCCACTAGGCCCCTGGCTTGAGTGACAGTGGGGGGGGCGGGCCTTCTCTGAGCAAGGCTGGCATCTGCCACACCCACTGGGCCCCTGGCTTGAGTGGCATTGGGGTGGGGGGCGGGCCTTCTCCGAGCAAGGCCGTCAGGTAAAGGGAAAGGGGCTCCCTCGTGTCCCCTGGGCTGTGAGGGTGTCTGCTTGGCGGACACTGTGCCTTTAACGGATGGCAGGGGAGCCAGGTCTAGCTGGGGTTGGGGGGGCAGGGGCGAACCAGGGCAGAAAAGACTGCTCAGAACCAACAGCATCCTCTTCCGGACACAATGAATGGATGCGGTTGAAACGCGGAAGCCGTCGGGGCTTCTTAAACCAGGTCCCTAAGAGAAACCCACCCAAGGCGCACGTTGTCCGGAAACGTTGGCGCGTTTCCTACGGCAACATATGGCGGTTCTCAAAGTGCGGTTCCCCCGGGAATGTCTTAGACGGGCACACTGGGAGGGACCCCGTGGTCTCTGCTCGAACCAGGCCGTTCTGATGCTCGGGGAGATGGCTGCTCTGAGAATTCTCCCCTTTCCTCTTAGGCCGCAGCTGTTGTCAAAATGTTAGTCCTCGCCCCGCTGGTGTGGTCCGGTGGTTAGCGTCCATCCACGAACCAGGAGGTCGCGGTTCCATTCCCGGTCAGGGCGCATGCCGGGGTTACAGGCTCCATCCTCAGTGGTGGGGGTGGGGGGGAAGCCGATCCATGATTCTCTATCATTGATGCTTCTCTCTCCCTCTCCCTTCCTCTCCGGAATAACTAAATATATATATTTTAAATGTTAGTCCTCGGTGGGGAAACTAAGGCTTGGAGACCATGCCCTCTGCAGCATGCGGTCAGAGAGATGAGAACCTCTCCCCCCCCCCCGCCCTCAGCACATTTCCCAGGGGTCGGGCCTTCTTGCTCCTCTCTCCTCCCAGGCTCCTCTCTGTTCCCTCCCCGCCCCTGGCTCGGCGTTCCACACAAGGTGCCACCCAGGCGCGGGCCGGGAAAGCCGGCCGCCAGGGCTGTCCCGCGCTCATTTCTGGAGTCAGACTGCGTCCTCTGGGCCTCGCTCAGGCCTTCCTTTCACCCGCCCTTCGCTCGAGCGGCCCCTCTCTCTGCGCCCGGGGCCCTGCAGAACGGAGCCCATCACTGCTCCCCCTGCTACGGGGCAGCCCAGGATCACAGCTCACACCGGGTGTGTGTGTGTGTGTGTGTGTGTCTGTGTGTGTGTGTGTGTATCTGTGTGTGTGTGTGTGTGTGTGTGGGTGTGTGTGTGGGTGTATCTGTGTGTGTGTGTGGGTGTGGGTGTGTGTGTCTCTGTGTGTGGGTGTATCTGTGTGTGTGTGTATGTGTCTGTGTGTGTGTGTGTGTGTGTCTCTGTGTG